AACACTTTTGATTTAACTGTTTTATGTGGTTTAAGTTGTTGCTACTATTGTAATTCCGCAGGTTTGATTTCTATTTTTTATTACTAATTCTAATTTCTATGGTTGTATGTATAGTGAGTGTGTTTTAAGCAATGATAATGACTATAAATGCAGTTTTTGAGTTGTAGATTTGCCCAACTTTTGAAATGAATTTGTCCTATTTTGTTGTTACTTTCATCTCTCTAACTCACCATGTCTCCTCTATGTGCTAAAAAAAAATAAAAAAAATCAACATACTAAAATTGACGGATTACAAAGGAAAATTCAAAACTGCCATTAATAGGACAAATTAAGGTTAAGCATTTGAGAAAATAGAAACATAATGATAAAAAAAGGAAAAAAAATATATATATTGGAAACAATCATGATAAGAAATGTGTGTGTATCTATTTATGCATTTATCAAAAATTTGGTTCAACTTGGTTCAAGAATGAAGTCTTGGAATTTTGGAATCAATCTTTTCTACCTTGTGATTTCGAAGACGAAGAACAGATATTCGCATTCCAAATATTTAAGAGTTTAGAGGGTAAACTTGGAATTCAAAGTAGATTTTATGAAGTTAATACAACAATACTCGCAATATCAGCGCGTGTCCATCACATACCATTAAGTTCAAACGGCTTGGGGGTTTGGTGCAAGGTTTTAAAAAACACATAGGGGAAAATAAAACGCCGAGTTTTCAAACCACAGGTGTGTTATGGGCACTTTTTCCAGAAAAATTAAATAAATTGCAAGAATAAAAAGGAAATAAACTTTGATTGAGATGTTGAAATATGCCCTAACAACGATTATATGTAACTTATTTATATAATCTAAATGGTGTCTGGGAATAGACAAGATGATTCTAATCTACTAACAACGTGAATGGATGCAACTCTTTGGAACATAAACAATATCTACGGGAATTAAAACTAACTAATCTATTTATTTTCTAACTTTAAATAAATCTAATTTTGAGATTTTATCAAAATACCCAATTTAAATACTCTTTAATCTTGGTAACATATTTTGATATCTTTGTCAACCAAAATCCAAGATTTATTATCTAATAATCAAGATTTTAAATCTAACATCAAGATTCAACCGTATTATCCGCAACCGAAATAGAAAGGTATGGACCCGTAAACTTGAGAGGTACGAATTTATGAATTTGAAAGGTATGGACCCATAAACTTAAGAGCTACGGACCCATAAATTTGCGGCCAGTCTAATTAATTACGAAGCCATCGTATATGTATACATCAATCTTGTCCCGTACGGCCAAATACCTGGTCTAATTTGATACGAAACCATTGTATACGTACATATCAATCTTGGTTCCAGTACGTCCACATATCCGGTTTAATTTGATACGAAACCATCGTATACAAATACATAAATTTTGGTCTCGGCACGTCTTTGACTTGCCATATCTATTAATTTTGAGTATGGCGTTCAATCTAAACTATATCTGACGCATCAATCTAAAATACGTCCGACACATCCAGACATCCCTACTTCCAAAATTCCGGGATGCTCTTAACTCTAACAATTCGGAAAACTTTTATATTTCAGAATCCAAGGGGCCCTTATCTTGAAAATCATGGACGCCCTTTTCATGTTTCACACATTCGAGTGTAAAGCACCTCAACTTCTTAATGTGTCCGAGCAATTAATTTTAGGTGGTAACAGTCACTTATGGCCATGAAATTTTACTTGACCTACATTGATAGTAAGTTCTTTGTCATACTTTTGGATCGTTTTTTTAAATACGATTCAAATGTGCACATACTGCTTTTATTATGATAAGGCATGTCTGTGAGCATCGTAGATAAATTCTGCTTACTGTATTCAACTTGCTATTGCTCAAGTTGTAACTGCAAGTTGTATATCAATTGGTAGCCAATATATGTAGATTGTATATTATAGTGATTTTAAAAACCAGTCATCTATGTATTTGTTTTTGCTGCTGCTACAATTATTAGGAACTCGTGAAGACCAAACACCCTGAACTTCATCACGAGTCTAAAATCTATATGCTTCTACAATGAAGAAGTAAGTTATTATTCTTTTTCAGTATGCATATACAAGTTTTCATATTTAGTAGTTGTAGCCATTAAAAATTAAATGCCTAAATTAAATTAAATATCATATATATTGGAATACGATAAAATTTTGATATAATAAATATGTAATATTAAATTATGCACATATGTTAATATTTGTGCAATAAATATCAACCATTAATAAAAAAATTATAGTTATAATGGAATATATCGTACAAATATTACGTGCATAAATATAGTCAAAATAAATTTGGCAGCAAAATAAATTAATCTCGTTAATAAAAAAAGTATTTAAATTAATATATTCCGAGAAAGGGAATAATATAAAGATCTTGGCGAGAAAGAAAGGCACACAATCAAATCCTTCAAGAATATAAAACGACATCTAATGGAAAATGAAAAATTATAAATCTTTTTGTTGGCCAATCAGGACATACCACGTGGCATCATTCGAAAAGGAAGCCGATGCCACCCCTCCCTTATAAATAGGGTCATGGTCAATTCATTTGACATACCGGAGTTCATTTAAAGACTCGAGCAAAAAGGTTAGTATCTGGACTCTCTCTACAATATTCTTCGTGTTCTTTGTGTCATTCGAAGCGTTTTTCGTCGAAAAGTCACCGATTTGGACAAATTATCCAATATTGGTTGATGAATCGATAAAGCTAACATTATTCGTCGTATGCCAAACCAGAGGAAAGATCAAATCTCCAAAATTCGTTGAAGAATTCGTCAAATCCAAGAGAAAGCCTTCAAAGTTCCTCCTAAATATTCAAGATGTTCATCGCATTTTTCACCAAATCATCAAATCTGACTCTCTTCGATCCAAAAGTCAAAGAGACACGCCACAAAAAAGCGTTATGAAACACCAAATCCACCTCCTCAAAGATTAAAGCCTCAGATCGTCCAAATAAGACATCAAATCCAAAGACGATGATCAAAATTGCCCGCACGAACACCAAAGCCCTCCAAAGTCCGGCAAAGTTAAATCGAAGACCAAATTCCTTCGGATCGTCTAAAGAAGACATCAATCCAAAGTCGACGATCAAATCGCCCGCATGGAGACCAAAGCCCTCCAAAAGCCAGCAAAGCCAAATCGAAGACCAAATTCCTTCGGATCAAAGAAGCTATTCAAATCCAAGTTGGAAAACAAATCGATCCAAAAAGGAGCCGTTGGCTAGGCAAACGACGCTCTTACCGCTTGAGCCAACGCCAGTGCCAGCGGCCAGGCCTCCGCCGCTGAGTAAGCGAGATTGGACCACTCCGAAATTTGACTAAGTGTTTATCTCCCAGCGGTCACATCATTCCATTACTAGCAAACAATGATAGCGTCGCTTAAGTAGCGTTGATGCCTTCCAGCCAACGCAGGCAAGTGAGGAAGATCTACGCTCTTACATTCTGAGTTAAGCGAAATGACCACTCTAACCACTCTAGGAGTTATGGTCGGTGCAACTACTCCAATAGATTAACCGCCTCCAACCGCCTAACTGTCCAACGTTTTCAACTGCTGCTCAACTACCGATTCTGAAGATCTATAAATAGAGCCAGATTCCATTTGTAAATTACACTACACAACATTCAAGTGTCTATTTCTTTTCTGCAGATTTTTGTGCTTTTCGAGAGCTCCAATCCTGTAAAAGAGTTCTCTAATTATGAATGACCAAAGGAGTTGAGATTTTCTCCTCCCCTGGCCGCTCACCTTATTGTTTTCTAGTATAAATTACTGCTTTGATTTACAGCTTTGTTCCTGCTTTCGTAATGTAGAAGTTTACTATTTTTACTAATTTAATGAAATATCGTGATTTCTTTATACTCACCTTCATCCCCGCTTCATATATGCACTTTGAGTGATGAGTTTAGATTATGGTTTGTTGAGAAAGAACATCGAAGAATCGACTAACTAAACCTAGATTTGCATCGTATTTATTAACATAATTTAGGCAGTTCAGTGTAGTTAAGCACGTGGGAGCCTTTTCGACCTACTTAGCTGTTGTTCCAAATTCGATTATGATTAAATACAGGTAATAGGAGGGTAAAGTCACTAATGAGACAGAATTTATAATTAAAGGGGCATAGACGCTTGTATATTAGGCCAAAGAAATGTCTAGTGACAGTAGCATCTATTGTTTATAATGTTTTGATTTTGGGTGTCATTGAAGTCTTGTTATAAATTCCTTAAGGTCAAGTATCAGTAACCCAAGTTTTTGTGTTAATCAGTCTGCGCAATTACAATCATTTCTTTTGTCATTACGTGTTATACATATGTTTCGCTTACTCACTAACATCGCTCGCTTATTTCACCTATGAACATCTAGCCATTAAGGACGCACAGATCACGCACAATATTATCTGATCCCTCGCATCGCTCATCTATCGTAGCTCATATATCTATAACCCACTCACTCTTCATCCAATCGTCTTCGCTCACCAACGCTCTCACTACATCCACCTTGCATTAGTTAAATATTGACATATTTTATATTAATTGACCGTTCATCTATGAGAATGTTTATCTACTCACACTTTATTGATTGAGAAAGTTGTCATCAGTTAATACACTTTAGTTTTTTTATGTAGTATAGATTAGTTGAATTTCTTTTGCTTGAAACAGCGTAATTTGGTATACCTCAGTACATGTCACCTTAACTATATTAAAAAAAAGAGAGAAAAAGAAAGTTTAATATAACTTGTCTTTATGCGTTGAGCGATGGATCAAGAAGACCAATTGGTTGCAATATAACAAACAATTTTGCTCACAACTCCTCTCTTTCTCTGGGCGTTTGACAAATAGCTTTTTAAGGTATTTGGTAAATTAGTTTTTTGGACCCAAAAAAACTAATTTCTGAAAAGCTAACTTAGCCCACTCATGGCCCAAATCCAATCTCTCATTGATCCATTGACAACAATAACAATATATGAAAGATTGAATTATTTTGTGTTTCCAATGTGGGACAATCTTCCTTTTTCACATATTTAATATCCAACACAAACAAACAAAGAACAAGATAAGATAAGCACCGATTGAAGAAGAAGAAGTCGTAATTAACATTAATACTACTACTACCACCAATTCACACCACCACGCTCTACTCTATTCTATTCTCTATTCTAATTAAGGCTACAAGACATAAAAGCAAGAAATAAATTAATAAAGAAAGAAAACTAAAAAGGGCATACCTGGAGGAAGAACCGATGAGGTGGATCAGGAGGTGAGGTTCCTCCTGGTGGCTTCCATTTTCAGCAGCAGGTCTTTGATATCGGTCTCCATCCTCATTTTCATGTTGAAATACTCCTCATACGCCCGCTCCACCCCCTGCAACTCCTCCACCTTCTGTTTCCGCATCTCCTCCGCTTCCCCCACCCGCAGCTTCCTTATTCTACCCGAATATTCCTCCTCGATCTTTTCGCTCTTGCTCGCCGAGATTCGCTTCAGGGCTTCCGATTCCCGCCTCGCATCGTCCGCACGTGCCTGAAACATCTTCGCCTCCGCCTGTTTTATTCTCACCATGCTCTCCAGCTCGTCCAATATAGGTTCCTTTTCTGTGGGTTTCCGAATGTCAACGTACTTATCATTCCTGTTGCCGCCGTCAATGGCAGCGAGCAAATTCACCGGATTTTCCAACTGGAGGAGACCCTTCTCTGAATAAATCGACTTCATCCACCCCCCACCTTGGCTCGACCCTGCAATGCCGTTGCCGTTGCCCCCTTCTTGGGTTTTTGTCGCCAACTCGTTTCTGGGCTCGACTGGATTGTTGCCAGGTCTATCTGAATCAGTTTCTGTAAACAAAAGCAGCACAAAGTTCAAATATTACTACAATATCTAATTTGTTGACAGCTTATGAGCTGGTAAAGATACAGAATCTTTGATCGCCGAGCTAAAGAATTGCTTTGATAAAGTGTTAAAAGGGCGTTCCGAAGAAGTCTATACAGATAAACAATATATGGTTCCTAAAGAATGTGTTCGTCGAGTATAACCAGCAATCGATTTTTGTATTCAAATCAAAGCAAGAAAAATAGTTAGAATAAAGGGACAAAGTGTCGGACATTACCGGTGAAAAAGTTGACAATACGGGTTTGCACCTCCTGGAGATCTGCTGCTCTATTGGCCAATTTAGACAGCATCCTGACGGCAATTTCATGCAGCTGTTTCCCTCTCGTATCCCCGCTGGCTGCGAATATTTTTCTTACATATTCAAGCTCTCTCGAAAGGTTTTCTGCAGTCCATTCTTTCACAAAGTTCTGGAAAACCTCCTTAACGAAACCAAACATCTCCGAAGGATGATCGCAAGCAACACAATAAAACTGCATTTCGGAAGTGCGATGGGCACCAGTTGCACTCCGCCCGTTTCTGATATGAGCTTCTCGTAATCCACAATCGGCATGGCACCAGTGCAGGCACACGTCGCACCCAACCCAACTGCACGTGTTAGACGCCATGTCAAACTTAGAACACACGAGACACATGCACTCCCGGCAAAAGTCGTTCCTCTGAGAACATATTTTGCAGTCGCATTCGTCCACAGGCAGAAGACTCCTGCAACTGAGATTCTTGCATCTCATGTTCAGAAATATCTCTGCCAAATCGGATGCCGGGATGTTCTTCTGCAGAAGAAACTCTTGAAGCCCTGTTTTCAAAGCCACCAAGATCTGCAACTGAGTTCGATGTGCGTTCAGCAGCATGTCGAGTGTCAGATCCTGCCTTTTAAGCACAGCCTTCTGCAGAGCACTTAGCTGCCATTTCTTGCTTGGATTCGATATGATGCCTCCAACAAACTCCTTAACACATTCCACGTGCTTCCCAGTCATCTCATTAAACCTACGCGCCATTGTGTTTAGAGGTTCGGACACGATCATCGTAACTATGGACTCGGCAAAGTCGGCTCCAATTTGCTCCTTCCCATCAGGATCGTTGCTCCTTTGCAAACTAGCACCGTATTTCTCAGCCATCAGTTTCTTCCTATCCTTGGAATATTCCGGTCCAGGTCCAATTTCATACGCGACAAAACCCTGTGACGCGGATGAATTTTTATTAAAACTTAATTGCCTTTCAAGTCCATTCGGCAATTTAGAGCTACCACCAGCAGCTCTCAGATGGGATACCCCTCCTTGTCCGCTGGAGTTTCCCTGAGTTAATTGAGACTGAAGAAGGTGCAACCCATTGTCTCTCGACAGCATTCCCATTCCCTGATATGACGGAGGACCCTCTTTGCTCTTACTCTCCTCTAATGCCAAAGCTTTCCAATCCACTCCTTGAAACAAAGGTTTACTGCCAACAGATTGCTCAAAGTCAAGCGCATTATGAGTCAGGGAGCAGCTTGGATTGTGAGTGAATTGCTGTGATCCAGAAAACGACATAGAAGCAGTAAATCCATCAGAATTAGTCCGAAATGAGCTAGCCAATGATTGGACGCTTCTGGCATGGCTGGGAGAACCAGGAGCCTGCCCTCTGTTCTGAGAACCAATAGGCAGTAAAACATTCGGTAAGCTGAGAGACAGGTCGAGAGTTAATTTATCATCTTTAAGCCTGCTATGCATAAATTCTTCAACTTTCTCCGGCTTTTTAATAGGATCTGTGGATAGAAATTGGAATCCCATCGTACTTGGGCCTTCTAATTCATTGTCTCCACTCGTTGCAACATCCCTCATTTTGTTTTCAGCTTCCAGATTAGTTTCTGCAAAATGAACACTGCTGGACGGCAGCGAAACAACACTTTTGCCCTTATCCTTCAATGGCTGGATTGCTTTCTCCGTATGCAATTCCTCCTCTGCTGCTGTTTCCAAGTCCTCAGCCGCAACAGCTTTGTCCGGCTTCGCCTCAATATTAACACTCTTTTCCTCCCTTGTCTCTTTTACTGACGGTAACTTGCCGCCACATGTATTGTCCGCAACTTCCTCCAAAGAGTCTTCCCTTTTGTCCTCCATTACTACTTCATTTTCTCTTTTTGTGTCGATTGTATCATATTTGCCTCCACCTCCCTCTCGAGACGTCGTATCCTTACAGCTCTGCAAGCCGCTACTTTTGTTGACAACATCTTCGATGCTCTTAGCATCTTCTGCTTGCTCCGCAACGCTTCCCGTCTCATTCACATGTCCCTCTTTGAAGCTACCATTGTCGCGCACATCTTCATACTTTCCAGTGTATTCCGAGAGGTGTTCATTGTCGTGTCCCTTATGAGAGGAGTTCAATTCACTACCATCTTCATCTTCCGCAGGCTCTGTCGAAGGCGCAAGGGGTTGAGGATCAGGTTCCAGCTCTCCTTCCTCTCGTTCACTGCTGTGGCCGTCACTCTCAACCGGCATTTCCTCATTTTTCTTGCACTCCACACTCTTCGACCGTTCACTCTCAGAGTCCTTAGACCAAGCCGGCGACTTCGCATTCGCATCCCTGACACCCTGCGGAGACTTTGCTGCTTTCCCAACATCCTTCGCATCCATTCGACTCCCTCTGCTTACCTCATGGCTACTCCTCGAGCCATCATCTCCATCTTTTCCACACCCAAATCTCCGCCACGAAGCTGCAATGCCCTCCCTCTTCGTCCTGTCTCTCTCCGACCTAAACCCCTTGGGAAAATCCCTCCTAGCCCCTGAAAAGCTCTCGGCACGATACATAGGATCCATTCCATACCCAGCCCTAGGCGAAGAGCTCAAAATACCCCTCTCATTCCCATCTCTATGCCTGTCATAACTCTTCCGCCGATCGTAATTGTCCAAATCATAGTCAGATCGCTTCCTCAACCTCGAGCTCTCCCTATCATCGTCAAATCGATCATACCTAGATGTCGAAGAGGAAAGAACCTTCTTCCCATTATCAGACGACTTGTAATAAGAACCTCTATGTACAGACGAAGATGAACGCTGCAAACCAGAATCCTCCTCTCGTCTCCCCCAATCTTTCACCACACCTTTCTCTGCGTACAGATCATCACTCGACCTCAACCTCTTCATAATTTCCACAGCTCAAAATCAATCACAACCGACACATAAACATTACCAAATTTGACCAACGAAGAACAAGCACTTCCTCACCAATAACCACCAAGCTACTACTATTTCAGATTTACAAATCTCCACACAGCCAAAATCTAGCGAGGTCAATAAAAGAGCACCATCAGATCACGCCAAATCTCGAAAACAAACCAACCGAAAAAATTTTCAAATCGTGCAAACGGAATCACAGCTGAAACTCACCATCATAACCTCTAACCTCCGCACGAGCCCGAAATCGCCAGAAACCCTAACTCACTCACAGTAGACGGCTGGAAATCCAATCCAACTACGGGTTCAACGAAAGCCAGATTCAGCGCATCCTCCGCAGTAATCACCAGATGCACGTGGTCGGAGCGGTCGCCGGCAAGAAGGACGGAGGAGGATTCGCTCCTGGTCAGTCAACGGAAAATGATGACAAGTGGGGCTGAAAGAGAGGGTTGAGGTTGAGGTTGGGGGAAGAGATGGTCGACTACAATACGCAAAGTGCGCATTGCGCACCAGTCAAGCCATTGGGAAGTGTGAGGTCATGGTGCGCACTGCGCCCCCCGGCGTACGTTAGACTCAGCCCCCATTAGTCAACTAATGTTTGAAAAAGTTTAAATTAAGCCAACCTGTTGAAACGCCTTTCCACGTCAGCATTTCACCTTGTTTTCTATGCTTATTTATTTATTTTTTCAAATAAGAGAATTTTAAAAGACAAGTGATATAGGGTAAGTTGACTAATGCTTTATTCATCGCGTCTTTATATGATATTCACCAAGATAAATAAATAAAGAACTAAAGGGTGCGTTTCGTGGAATTGCAGATAAATAATCCATCACCCCACATAATTTGTTTTTTTTTTATTTTTAAAAATATAATTATCATTTTAAATTTTAAATTTTAAATTTTCTTAATTTTAATTAAATTATTTATTTATTTTAATTTTAATCTATAATTATTTTTACTAATACACTTTTTAATTACTTACTAATTATACTTTACTTAAATTCTCATGTCTACAATAATACATCTATATTACAGGGGACGGAGAGAGTATTAATCATAAAAAATGATAAATAAAAAATAATTCAAATAAAATAAAATTTTGTAAATAAATATTGTTGTATTTATTAATTAGTAATTTTTAAATATTAATTTTAGTATGAATTTTATAAAATCAGAATAATATATTTTTGTATACAAATTTAATTTTTGAGGAAAAAATAAAAATAATTTTATTTTTCAAGTTTTATTTTTTTGACACAAATAAACAAAAGAATCTCGGCTCTCAATAGGCAGTTTGGGTATATTTCTTAATTTAGTATTCAAGACAATCTTGAAAAAATTACAATTATTTGATGAAAATTTTAATTTATGGATGAAATTTGAGGCAGAGGTAGATATGCAATTTGATTCATATAATTAATATAAATATGGATAGATATTGGTCGTGTTCATAATCCAGTTTACATTAAAAATAAAAAGTAAAAAAGAACTTCATCTTCTTTCATCGGCATCCATCGAAGAAAATAAATTGTAGAGAAGTCAGAGCGTAGATAAAGCAAAATAATATGCATTCCTGACAATTTTAGTGTGTTGTAGACGAAGATAACGTTTTAAAAATAACATAATTGGGTAAGTTTTTTTTTATCGATCGCAAAAGTAACGTATTAACGACTTTTTATTACATCATATATCTATCTTCTGAACATCATATTCTAAATATATATATTAGTCATTCGGCGTATCAATATTTGCACACAAGAAATATTTAATAAATGGCTGAAACAACGAAAGACTTGCAGGCTTCCATTAGTACAATTACATATAATAAATTTATTCTAATTGTCGAATCCAATATTTGTACGAATGATTTGTAGCCTGAAATTAAAAAATATGGTTTATATTATTTTCTTGAGACGATTTTAAATCTTATTATAGTGTTACATACGAAATTTAGAATTAGGTTAAAAGCCCAAGGTAAAAAGAAGAATGGGCCTGGCAATAGAGTTGATTGAACTGGCTGAAGGATACCATGAGGAAATCAAGGAAAATAGGTTTATTTCTAAGGAAAATACAGGACGGAAGGACCTCAGGTCGGTAGGTCCTCAAGACGGAAAGACCTCAGGTCGGAAGGTCTTCAGGTCGGGAGGTCCTCAAGACGGAAAGTCATCAGGACGGAAGGACCTCAGGTCGGTAGGTCCTCAGGACGGAAAGACTTCAGGTCGGGAGGTCCTCAAGACGGAAAGTCATCAGGATGGAAGGACCTCAGGTCGGTAGGTCCTCAAGACGGAAAGACCTCAGGTCGGAAGGTCTTCAGGTCGGGAGGTCCTCAAGACGGAAAGTCATCCGGACGGAAGAACCTTAGGTCGGTAGGTCCTCAAGACGGAAAGACCTCAGGTCGGAAGGTCTTCAGGTCGGGAGGTCCTCAAGACGGGAGGCCCTCAGGACGGGAAGTCCGCAGGTCGGGAGGCCTCAGGTCGGGAAGTTCTCAGGTCGGAACTCTGCGGCAGGACCAACAAATCGGATGGTTTGTTAGTCGGGATGTCTGTAGCTGCTCCAAATAAGTCAGCTGGTTTGCAAGTCGGGAGGATTGGCAGTCGGACCAATGCGGTTGTAGATTGGCAGTCGGGCCAAAAGGGCGGAAGGTCTGTGGTCGGCTCAAAGAGTGAAATATAGGGATAATTTTGGTCCGCTGAGGACACGTGTCAGCAGGAGAAGGATTGGAAGACGGTTGGGAAGGAGACGTTGTAACCGTTCGGGCAACGGTTTTCAGTACAGTTTCCCAGAGAATATTTAAGGATTTGAATCATCATTTGGCAAGGCATCTTCAATCAACTTCAACAAAGCAAAGTCAGATTTGGGGATCACCACTTTAAATTTCAGTCTTTTATTTTCCAGTTTATTTTCTGTACCATACAGTGTTTAGAGATTCCTAATCTCAGGCACTAATTAATCAAGTTTAAGGATATTTTCTATATCTTTGAATTTTACTTTATTTTTGTTGAAAAATTACATCAACAAATTGGCGACCACAGTGGGAGCAAGACAAAATTGCTCATTCCAATTCCGGCGATAATTTCATACGTCTTAGATCCGGCCGTATCATCGGAAGGGTCCACATGGCAGGTTCACAACCTCAATCGTCTTCGGCACCGGTGGGAGAATCCGTTCCACCACCTATCGTGCCAAATGCCGGGGAAATCCCACAACCACCAACTGATTGGTGGTCTTATGTTCAACAAATGAACAACCAGCACACTTTGGTTATGCAGAATATGTTGCGTGAGCAACAAACGAACATGTTGCGTGAGCAACAGAGTTTGATGCAGAACATGATAGATCAAGCACTGTCAAGGGTTAGTCTTCAACCTACTCAAACTCCACCAGGAGCATCACCATCCAGACCACAGGCAAATTTCGCAGGGCCATCATTCGTGGATAGTACATTCCCAAGTGCCACAAATCCCAACCGAATGGATAGGGGAAAATCTCCTCTGACTTTTCCCAACACTGTTCCATTGGGACCAAGGGTTACCAATCCGCAGCCGAACAACACAAGGGAGGACAGGCCTGAAGGATATATACATGATCCTATTCATATTCCTGTGCAGGATCCGTTCCATGTTCCTGATCATCAACGCTTTCATGTAGATCCTGATGAGATTGCACATATATTAAGGGATCAGTATGGATTAACTCCTCAGATGGCTAACCGCCCTGCATATCAGAGACCTTTCCCAGAAAGGATCATTAATGAACACCCTCTCCCAAGGAATTATCGACCACCCGATTTTCATGCATTCTCAGGGGAGGACGGATCATCCACCATAGAACATGTTGGTCGGTTCACAGCACAATTAGGAGAAGTTGGCAATAACCCTTTTTATAAGTTGCAGCTGTTTGGTTTATCTCTTATTAGAACAGCATTCTCGTGGTTTGCAAGTCTGCCTCCTGGACAAATTTAGACATGGGAAGGACTGGAGATGGCATTTCATGCTAGATTCTTCAATCCTTTACCAACTGTTTCTTTAACTGATTTATTAGAATTGAGACAGTATCCAGAAGAATCTGCTTCACAGTTTATAGAAAGGGTCCGATTGATGAAGGGACGATGTCCTACGGTAATCAGTGAGAAAGAGATGACCAATTTAGTGGTCCGGAATATGCATACTCGCTTAAGAAAGGCACTTACTGCCCTGGATGTTGAGGATTTGGCAAGTCTTGCATCCAAGGCAGGACGTTTAGAGTCTTTGTTCAGAGAGGAAGATCAGCATAACAGGCGCAATAGAGGCCAACATATGGCGAGTATGGGAACAGAAACATGTGACTTTGATTTTAATCAGTCAGAAGAGATGGCAGCCGAAATCCTTTCTGGAAAACCTTATGTATGCCCTAAATTGAAGCCAGTACCAGGATCTGAAGGAAAGGAGCAACCGACGTTTGATAGTTCGAAAGCTGATGAAATCTTTGATATCCTACTGACTGATGGGCAGATCCGTATTCCAAAGGGGCAAAGATTGGCCACTAAAGAAGAAATCAAAGGGAGACCATATTGTAAGTGGCATAATTCTTTCACACACAATACAAGTCAGTGTACTCATTTCAGGAAGGAAATTCAAAAGGCCATCAAGACAGGTCGGCTCAAATACATCACTCTAGGTGTAGACCAGCAACCGTTTCCGAAAGTAACAATGGCAATGGTTGACATCCAACCAAGTTCGGAAACAGGGAAAAGTTCGGCCAATAGTGGACAAACAGGGGAACGAACTCAGGCAAGCCCCGGAACAAAGAAAGGAAATCAGCCAAACAGCAGCCGACCTGAAGGACGACTCAAAGTTTGTGAGAAGCCAGTCGCTGAAAAATGGGACCATCCAGACGGTTCTTTTAATGTGGAGGTGAAAGAAAAGGTTTTAGTCCGTGATCACCCGACCAGAAAAACAGGGTCAGTCGGGAACACTTGGGCTCGAAATAAAAAGCCTTTACCCGTTGATATAGATCCTCGTTTCCCAGGTATGAATCGTACACAGATTCGCAATGCCAAACGCAGGTATGCTGCAAAGTATGGGAAACGAGTTCCTTCAGTAAAACAACGAACCGACGAACAAAAAGCAGCCGACCACTTGGCGGGAGATCAGTCCATTAGAGTCTTTACAGAACAAACGACCAACGAGCAGGGAGCAGCCATTCAGTCTCCAAAAAGTCGGTCCAGTCGGGTCTGTTCAGGAAAGCAACCGAATGACGGATTAGGCGCTTCCGACTATTCCAAAAGAAGTTCGTCGGGACAGGGGAAAGGTAAATGAATGGCAGATGAAATAATTAGAGGTTTTCGATGCCAACATTGTGAACGGATCAACATCAATCCATCTCCTGAGGAATTCCGCATAGAATCTTTGACGGTTCAATCTCGGGATAAGACAAAGGAAGAAGTTGTAACTACAGAGGAAAGTTCAAGATCTGTTAAATCTCGTCTGGGACCACGAATCCCTTGTCGAATGACAGAAA